GGGGCGACGCGGGAGCCCCGGGCTGTGCTGGGGGCTGCGCCTGGGGGCAGCCGGCACCGGCGTCCCTCAGCTCTGGTGCATCAGGGAGAGCTTTGCAAAGGTTCACTCTCATCCCTAATTTGTCCCCTTTTCCTTAACTGGACTCCTTCGTGCAGCTAATAACGTGTGCGTGGGCTGCAAAGGCCTGGCTTTCTGAGATGCTCAGAGCTTATAGACCTTCTCATCACGTCTGTATTATGGGGGTTCAGGTAAAACTGCCTCTGCTCTTCTCTGGTTGCACAAACACATATGCACAGACATGTCTGGTTTAGCCTAAATCACTTAATTCGCTGATTTACTGAATGTCTTTTCTCTCCTTATTGCCAAGGGGCCACTGGCTGTTTTCTGTGGCTGATTTGTTTCGTGTGAGTCTCTATCCAGGATAGAGAAGCTAACAGTGCCTTTTTCAAGATGCCATATCAAAGGATAAGGGCAAAGGCATCACTAGCCACACTGGGCTGGCCTCCTTGGGCTGGGTCTCCAAATACACTCCAAGTGGGTCTGATGATGGTGTCATATTAACCAGACTGGTCCATATCTCGAAGGGGCAGTAACTGTCCCTAGCCATCATGGTCCCTATGTCTCCTCATGCCAGGACCTGTCTGCCTCAGTAAATACAGAGAGAGTAACGGGTTCAGAGAGAGCTGTCTAGTTGATCTTCCTAGTCTAGTGCTCCCCCGCCTTCCAGAGGGAAGGAGGTAAAAGGTGGCTCAGAAATGGAAAGGGCCGGTTGAAAGCTGGCAAAGGATATTTATTGATACGATTTTTATTTTTTAGAGAGGAAAAAAGACTCTTAATGATGAGAATAAGCTAGCACGTTGCATCTAACTCTGAGGAAAGTAAGAAACAGATTTGCCTGGATTCACTTGTATTAATGCCAGGCCGTAGCACATTGTCTGGTGCACTGAGCTGTGAAGAATGGCTAGTAGGTTTTGATTTGGGCAGACCTAATAAATGTGGGCATGGGCTGGTCCTCTCCCCAGCTGCCTCCACCAGCATGGACCACTGCAACATATCACTTGTTTCTAGCCTGGCATGTCATACCTAAACCAGGCAGAGCTACCCAGACAAGTCAGGACATCGGGACAGAGCAATCAGGTTCTTTGGCAGCTGCACTAATCCGTTTGCATATTTGCAGTCAGCTCCTCGTTTTCTGATGAGCCTGCAAACCTTGTTCATTTTGCTTTTGCAAGTGTTTTTGTTTATGCTTTGTTCCAATTAAATTGCTGTGAGATTGGGCAGGGATTGTAATAGCAGCCTTGTGTTCAATGCAACATCTCTGACAAATATCTTTTAAACTCATCTGTATATTAGTGGCTTTTTTCTCCTTATTGTTTTATCAACAGAGCGATCTGCATACAACAGCACGGATCCAGAGACAGGGTGTCTGAATCTAGATGAAGAGATAAAAGCACTATGAGGCACCCATGTTGGGTGGTTTTAACTTTGGTTTTATTAAGAAGGCTGCATCTTCTGAACCAAAACTGCCTCAGTTGATTTTGAGATGGCAGGGTCTTGCTCTGGCCAGACAAAATCTATGGGTGCTGATGATCTCATCTGTTACTTATTTTCCCTTGCATTTGTCCAACACTTTTAATCCCTGGTCCTGACTGAGTCTGGGACAAGTGAACAATTATCTCCTGTTTTGCAAACAGGACAACAGAAGCAGAGAGAGGCAAATCTACAAAGAGACAAGGATTCCTGCTCCTTACCCCCTGCTGCCTCCTGGAATGGTGGCAGTTCTCCAAGCACACACTGTGAACTGCTGTGGGATGGGTTAGACCCTGGGAAAGACTTTTAATGGCTGGGACAGTGAAACAATGGAATGGGGGGTCTCTGGATGGGATGGATCACGGAGGGCTCTGTAAAATAGAAAGCAGACAAATACCTATGAGGAATATTTTAGGCAGACCTTGGTGGTCTCCTAGGGGGTCTCTTGAGATTCCCATCAGCAAAATATTCTATGGTTTTTTTTTTCTTAGCAAATTTACTGTTTTTTTAATGCTAGCTTGAGGGCAGCCTCTCAGACCTGGTGCTGAAAATTTGCTACCACCTACCTGATTGTACTAGTTAATTAAGGACAACTTTTAAGTGCCTTTGGTCTTGTGACCACAGTCACCCTTATGTTTCTTTCTAGTGCATCCTGTGAGATAAAATCTTTGCTGTGGTACCTCAGCCTAAAAGCTAGTAGAGTTGGGGCTGCAGGCGATGCATGTCTATGTGACGCATGCATGCTCGGGTTGGCGTCAGTCATGGTGAGTAAGCATGGAGCGAGGCTAAGGCTGAGAATAATGCTTTTTCCTTCCGAGAGGAATTTGCAGTCAGTTTGAGAAGCAGATGCTTTTGAACACAGAGATGGCAGAGACAAAAGAGGTGTCACTTACCTCCAGGCTAATGTAGGCTGTCTTGTTGGGGCATGCTGTTCTCTGATAGACATCCCTCACACCTTCCTGCCTGCATCCCCCCAGCCCTCGCTGTGTCTTCTGAAGAGAACTCAGACCAGAACATTGCTGTGTGGAAATTGTTCTATTGAGAACAACCCTTTTGGCTTAGACCACTTGGCTAGCTAACAAAAACCAGCTTGCTAGACTCCTAGGGTCAGCAGACTGTTAGAAGAGACATAATTCATTGAGGTAGCTCTGCTTTTTGATGTGTGACCCTCTTTAACATCTGACCATATACTGAGGAATTCCCTGGGAGCTAGTAGCTCAGTTCAGTGGACCATGTAGTGATGTTCTGCTGGGACAGATTCCAGCCATGTCCTTCATGCTTTATGTATTACCTTATGGTGCCTCCTCTTCCTTCTGAACCTGAGCAGCTCTTTGTGCTGCCGAGACACGAAGTTGACGGCAGCGTACTCTAGAAGTGCGGAGAACACAAAAAGCAAGCACACGGCCATCCAGATGTCTATGGCCTTCACATAGGACACCTAGGAGTCAGAGAGAGAGACTGAGATGGGGTGGCTTCTTCACCCAAATGCCTTTTTGCTTGCCATTTTACATGTTACTCCCAAGGTCTTTGGAAGGAGTTGATCAAGCTGTGGTACGGTTGACATCTGCTGTTGGATACCAAAATCTAGCTCATTTAACAAGAATGTATTATCAGGCCACTGAAAGTGCTCCTGGGCTCTTAAGTAGCAATAATTCCACAGTTTTTAATTCATTTAGGTCTTGATTGTGATGGTTGATATGCAAGGAAAATAGTAATCCAGTCTGATCACACCAGAAGCGCTTTATAACAGGGAAATTCAGTATTATTATAGAAGTATGATGGTCAAGTGAGTAAAAAGCTAGAACGTAGAGTGTGGTTGTTGCAGAGGTTTGTAAGCTACAGACCTCCTGGCTACTTGGAGCTGTGGTGGATCTTGGGGTGAGTGCCAAATCTTAGGGGAAGTTTTGCTGCTAGTCATAGCAACACTGCTAAAATTTTTACAAGAGGGGACTGGCATTTGTTCTGCTTGCACTTAAACTGGAATAGTGCAATGGCAGCAGAATGTCTCTTGTGTTGAGCAGGAGGATCTGTGCGGTGAATTACTTATGTGCAAATGTACACATTTTGCCCCTCTGCGAAGATAAGTGTGTTCCCTACCTTGGGCAGTGATGCTCGGGAACCAGAGCTCTGCGTGGTCATGGTGAGCACTGTGGTGATCCCCAGGCCAACACGAGCAGGTGCTGCATCCATATTGATCCAGAAGGAGATCCAGGACAGAATGACAATAAGGAGGCTGGGGATGTACATCTGGATCAAGTAATAGCCCATCTGCCGTTCCAAGTGGAAACGAGCTTCTATACAGGTGAACTTGCCTGTGAACGACAGGAGATACATGGAAGATTACTGGTAAGGCACGGTGAGCCTCCTGTTTTCAGCTATTATCTGGGGACTTTCCTTACATTGCCTAGAACCAGACTCTTGTTAGAGAAGGAAATTAACAGCTGTTGCCCAGTTCTGAAATATGAATGTACATCAACATAGCAAAGAAAGCGCTTGGCAGTACGTCGTTTGTCACTTAAATTTCACCTGCTCCCTTGCCTCAAAGGTAAAAGAAGATGTTGGGAGAGAAGGTACAGACCAAACACCCTTGAAGAGATGCAGATGTTGCTGGGGACAAGAAGGTTCCACACACTTGTATCTATTAGCTTTTTATTGGCTATATATGTGTATGTCTACTGGCAACGTATCTATGTGTATTTATGTATATGTTGCCCCTAGTTGTGTGGAACACAAGGTTTGTATCACCAGAGTGCCATCAGACATAGCAAGAGACTCTGGCAAATGCACAGTCCCGAATTCCTCTCTAATGAACCCTGCAGCTAAGGGTGAACAGCACTGACCTGTGTTGTAGTGCTTTGTGCAGTATCTCAAGTCTTTTTCTTCTTTGAGGATAAACTGAGGCAAAGTCAGCCCATCAGCAACTTGCACGGCTCCTTTTTCTTGCCACTCAAATATGAGATCATTCATTGTGTAGCCAACTGTTGAGAGGAGGGGACAAACACCGTGTGAAACGTTAAATACTGATCTGGAAAGGGACAGATTTGTGGAAGAGAGCTATGCTTGGAGGCAGGGATTTATCCTGGCCTTCCTTGGCAACGCTGTAGCGAATGGGATTTGCGTTGAGGCAGAACTGCTTATGCATGTGGTAAAAGCCAGGGTAGTGACCTGCACAGGAGCTGTGATGGTGTGCAATGAATTGTCTGCAATAAATCACATTTTTTCTTGAATTTGGCTTGTTGAGCCGTCTGCTATTTTTTCAAACTTGACCTCTTTCTCTGAATGAAGTTGTTCATCGTCTTTCCCTCCTTTGGGATAAGTAACATGTACAAGGGGCAAATGTTCATCCAGAGAGAAAAAATCCCATTTGCAGCTGAAAGCACTTTCACCTTTCTCCTCCAAAGTGAAAGGCCAATGTAAATACAAGCAAGCCAGGGCTCCTCCCATGGGATCTTTTAAGGTTTGGCTTCTCTAGGAAATGTCACATTCTGAATGAATGGAAAATCCTGAGCAAGCCTCCAGAGAAGGCTGAACTGGGAATGGGTTGCAGCTGGGCAGGGAGATGGCAGAGGAGAGGGAAAACGCCTTGTCTCCTCTCCAAAACAGAGATGTGCACGGGACTCACAGCTTTCTAACTGCATGATGCACGTCTGTACGTCCATGGGGAAGTTCTTCAGGTCCATGGGGCAGGCCAGAGTCAGCGTGATCCTGAGGAGAGAAGACAACACAGGGGAATGCCAAACAGTTTGTGTTACTGATGAGGGGGTGCACCCTCTCAGACACCCAATGTTGCAAAGAGGCTGGTACCTTGCCCAAGACACACTGGTGTGCTGAGGGAATGACTGATCATTCACAACTTCCCTGCTTATATTTTCACACGTGGTGTTGGAAAGCATCAGAAATGCCAAGCATTTGGATCTGTGATATAATACCCGGCAGAGTCACCTGCTGCAGATGGCGTTTCGTTGCAATGTTGTTTTGGACTGTGCAGAACAACGAGTTCCCACACCAAACGGTTTTGCTGCTTCTGTCTCCATTTCTTGCCTCAGGTTCACAACAGTCTGGATTACCAGCAAGCCCAAACTCATCCTCTGGACCCCCCAGTTACATTTCTAGAGACTGGGACTGTTTGGAAATCTTTGAACAGAACATTTCTGTGTCAGAAAAAAAAAATGAAGTTTGGTCAAGATCACACATTGCTGTGGGGGAAAAGAGAGACTTTGGTGGGATTTTCTGCAAGGAAAATGCCCTGTGGTAAGTCAATATGAATCTCTGTATCTTCCTGAATTCTTGCTGTGCCCCTTGAGAACTCTACGTTTGTCTCTCAAGTGCTATTTTCCACTAGGTGCAGGCTGCATTTTCTGTGGTATACTGCTGGCCTGCCCTATACCATGATCTATGCTCAAAATGTTTGTTTGGTTCAACAAGCTGATATTAAATGATTTTATTCAGAGAGCTAGACTTGTGTTATTTGGTTTGATAATGCTGAAAATGTTGTTCCCTGAAGTGTTTAGATTTTTCAGCTTTTTGCCTTGATGTAGAAACAGCAGAATTTCCTGGGGGACAGGAATTGAATTTTTCTATCACCTACAAGAAACTTAGTAGGAGGGAAAGATAGTTTAACTTAAATCCTTATGTTGGAAGAAATTGTTTGCTTGGGTTTAGAGGCATGTTGGGACAGAAGATATGACAGTAGAAAGAATCGACCTGTTCAAGTTTCCTTTTTATGAAAGCAACTGCATTTTCTATATTTAAAGAAACACCTTAGTAGAAAAGAGTCACCACTAGCCTTTGCCCACTTTGTTTTTCTCATTGCATCTCTGGCAAGGGACTCCATCTCTGATCAATTAGAGATAAGCCTTCAGTTAGATCTTCAGACAAGCCCCTTGAGAAGAATTTACTGTAAATATCTGCCAGATGTGAAACAGGGGTGACTGTGGCTGCGGCTAGGTCATGAGATGCTGAGCACATGCTGGACAAGTGTGTGCTGAGAAGGGATCGGAGAGTGAATTCCTCAAGGACGATTTTGCTTCAACCCAGTGCTGAGCATGCTGAGTCATGGGTCCGTGGGACAAAGTCCACCTTCTTGTAAGTGCCTTGACTAGAGTTCGGCTATTGCAAATAGTATTAGCAAAGAGCCAGTTAGAAAATGGCAGAGCACTTCAGATGGAAACATTTTTTTTAAAAGGGCAAGACTGTTTCTCCTTTTGGAAACTCTTGCATTTACATTGTGCTCTTCCATTATGAATGTCCTCTTTCTTTTTGCTTTTCACAGGAAAATGTACTTAAAAAGAAACCTATATTTTCATTTGGAGATGAGGGAGATAGAAAAGTTCTTTTTTTTAAACAAGAACTGAAGTGTTTTCAAGTTTTTGCCTTAAAAACACTGATCGGCTCAGCCACATGGCTCCATGTCCCTGCTGAGCCGTTGCTCTGTTTTGCAGAGCAACCCCAGGGCTGGGGTGACCCGTTATTCTCCCTCTGCGCTCCTGCAAACCCACCTGGAACAGGACTCTGTGCCACGCTCACTGCCAAGCTGCTGGGGGCGGTTTTACTACCTGCCTGTTTTTAGAAATTAAGAAATGTGAGGTTTCCACATTCAGCCAACATGCATGGCAATTCTCTTACTGTTTTAGCCATTAGGCATCTGGTATTTGGACTGGAACCACCTTGATATTTGGTGGAGGCTGTCTGCGTTGCAGAATTAAGCTGTTTATTTTCCATTTTACAGCTCCGTGCTGCTTTTTCTTCCCCATGGCTGCCACTAGGAGCTGCAGTGTGAGATTGGGTGTGCGTACCTTAGGCAAATTTACATTGTGCATGAGGTGAAAAAGTCTTCAAGATGGAGTTAAACTTTCCCTATTTAAGCTCATGAAGTTTGATCTTAATTTTACTGGTTTAAAATAAAGAGTGGATGGGGTTGGAAGTGAAGTGAAAGTGGGGGTTTGGATTGATTTCCAGTGGGAAAAATTCAGTGCAATTAGTTCAGCTTCACTGATAGATTCTTGGATATAGCGAAAAAGGGATAAATGGGAAGAGTTATGCTGAGACAAAGCCGTGGAGCTCTACTTAGCAGTTTCCCTAATTTTTTTGTCAGGAAATGCAGCAGCTTTCAAAACATAATTTTTCATGGGCTTCTACTAGTTTTCATGTAGCACAGCTGGTTTTAGGCTTGTGTTAGTATAATATCTCCAGTAATTTTACATTGGGGATCTTAACTAATCTACTAGTGAGGAGCAGAAGTCCTCAGTCTGAGAAAGGTAGAGATGAGCTATATTCCTTCCCAGACCAACCCTCTGTTTCCATATGCTTTGACTAACACCTTCCTGCTTATTACTTTTCTGCCTGTTGTAGAAGCAACAGCAAGTGGCGACCATCTGGCTGAAGGACCCACATCCTTCTGCTCCAACATGGATTCAACTACTGATGTAAGGAGGTATTTCCCATCTTCCCTTTTTCACTCAAGTTTTTTGTCTTCCTTCTGCAAATAAAACTGTTTCTGAAAACAAATTTCCCAGGCATAGTTGTGTCTTAGCGGGTCTTGAGGACAGAGCTGCCTGGGGGTGTGGAATTACCCCCAGCTATGCAGTGTTCTCTCCTGTCCCAGAGGCAGCCCAGCTCATGGTGTGCAGTCTCCATGCCTTTCGAAAGCACCATCCTTCTCCAAGATCCTGACTTCCAGAGGGAGACATGAGGCACAGGAAAATTTTTCTCTGTCTCAAGCTCTTCATTGGTGTGTGATAGAGCACTGCCAGGCTGGCCAGTCCTTTTGGATGGGCATCTTCTTATTTAACCATGAAGAAAAATAATGGTGTTTCTCATGTTTTCTTTTAAAGGAAAGCTACTAATACAAAATTAGAACTTGAAGCTCATGTAGCTTTCCCTTTCCCAGAGGGATTCCACACTTTTGCCAACCTCTTCTGCTTGGGGGGGCTGGAGAAAGACCTCTTCACTTGCAGCACATTACTTTGCTCTCACAAGGATGTGCTTAGACCTGCAAATAGGGAACTGTATACCTCACTACTTGTAAGCACGGGTAAATGCTGGATATAAGGGTCCAGATGAGGGAGCTGGTTAATGACCTTTTTCCTTCTTTTAGCTTGTGTAGTTGTATTTAACCAAAAAAAATTTCAAACAATATTGGTCAGGGAGACAAGGATATGTTTCACTTTTCAGTTATTTTTGTGTGAAGGAATCTGCCCCAGAAGAAGGATGAAACACTGGCACAGGCTGCCCGCAGAGGTCGTGGGACGACAATCCATGGAGCATTTCAATTTGGCCAAAGCCACAGTCAGCCTGATCTATTGTTGTCAATGGTCAGGAGGAGGTTGCATGGGTGATGTCCAGAGGTACCTTCCCACCACATTGCTATGACACTGTTAATTGTATGATCTCCCACTTTAAAACCCCTTAATTTCTTTTATCCAACGCCATAAAGTCTTCACTTTCTCATTTTAGGCTTTAACAGTGGGAATTTAGCTCTGCCCTCCCCCATCTTGGTGGAGCTCTTCCCATTGAGTCACCTCACCTGATGCTGTAGAGGACATTGCCATTTCTGGAGATCCTCAGAAGCTTGTTGTCTGTGGTAATCTCATGGAAATGGGCCCCTTTCTCATTAGCGAAGAACAAGTCAGGCTTCCAGATGGAGTCCAGCATAGAGGGGTCCAGGTCCAGAGAGTCATCAGGGTATTCATTGTACGCCAGCCGCGGGTCATTCCACTGCTGTCGCAGGAAGATGTTCACCCTGTAATCCTGCACGGTGTAAGCAGGGAGCAGAGAAAGGCAGTTAGTGCTCAGAATAGGCTGAAAGTCCTGAGAACTCCTGCACGGTGTAAGCAGGGAGCAGAGAAATGCAGTTAGTGCTCAGAACAGGCTGAAAGTCCTGAGAACAGGGGAACATGTACTAAAATCATTCTCAAAACCAAACCATGTCTAGGCCTATGTTCCCAAGATATGGCAAGTCTTCTTGGCATTATTTCTCAAGGAGCTGTCATTATTTTTAGCTCTGTAGCTTACAGCTATCTCATAGCATGAGCAGTGCCTATCCGTGCATCCCTCTGCCATAGCAATTGTCAGCTGTGTGTGAAGTGTCAAGACCTCTAGTCTGAACCTCGGGGCTGGAGAAGCGATGTTCAATTGCGGGGGTCGTAGGGGCTGCTATCAGCAAGATGACTGGTATCAGCAAGATGACTGTTGCAGAGGATTAAGGGGGAAAGGACATCGAAGCCAACACTGAAAGGTGTTGAACCATCCCATACCGTGACTATCTGTGGTTCCTTCAGACTTGTGAAAAGGCACAGTGAGACAGGCAGTCCATGGAAGTGCTTTTCCTGTGTGTTCTCTAATATAGGGGTAACTCAGATGAACTGGTGGGAGCAGCTGCCCTTGGTGAGAGTATGCGAAGACGGGAGGGATGTGCATGAAGTCTGCTTTCCTAATCGTAAGTGGTGTTCTGGGTTCTGCTCTTTAATGTCAAAATGTCATAAATGCTACAGATTTTACACTACGGCGGCCTCCTTTAATTGAAGCTAGTCCCCAGCACTGTGCAAAATGGTATCTGCTTCGTAACCGTGTGTCTTACAGCTCCCCCAAGTTCCCCAGGCCAAGGCTGGCTGCTGGGGTAGAGCTCAGACACTCTCCTGGACAATTAAAGGCAGTTTCTATTCTCCCTGTCTGACCAATAACTTCCCAGAGTGATCTGCGTGCCCCTTTTCTGCTGAATTTCACATAAGAAAGTGAGCCAACGAATTGAAATGGGGAGAGGACGTGCCAGCTATCAGGGGAGGGATAAAAGCCCTATGTCTATAAAGTAATTAGCATTTTCAGAGTACAGAGGCAGACTGCATCTGAAAAGCAGCATATAACAAACCAATTTCACTGCCCTGGCCCAAACTAATAGTTGCTATCATGATTCAGGGTTTCTTTGGTGCCTTTCTAATACTAACGTACTTTGAAGACTTTTATTAAGAGACAGTTACTGGAGGTGTCTGACGTGCTTGCTGGTGTCTAATACCTGCTGCAGGGACTAGGAACTTTCTTTCAGTGAGACTATTTGGCATCTCTGACTCTGCCATCAGGCCTGTTCTTTCCATCTGGAGAGCATGAAGCTCTGGAGTTGAAGGGTGCATGTGGAGGAAAGTCTTTCTGATGATGCCACCTCCAGTGCTCGCTTGACTATGAACCTACAGCCTCTTGTCCAGGAGGACATGACTTTTGTGGAGTCCAGTCACACTGGAGGCTTTGGAGAGGATGGTGTCTTGGGTGCTTGTGCTTTGGGGGCAGTTCATAGCCAAGCCCATGGTCTAGAATCTGTTTCAGGCCACTTAGTGCCATCTGCATCCTCGGAGCACAGAAGCTGCTAATGACATTAAAGATTGTGACAACAACAAATGGACCAAGGACTTGATGCTAAGAGGAGCAGACTTCTGAACATGAAAAAGAGTTGCAAAACTCTCTCCTGCTGATATTCCAAATGTAACCTTCACAAGTCCGAGTGGGTCCCTCTGACTTAATTATGTATCTCTGTTGACCCTGGATAATGTGTCTTGAGAAAATGTGAATAGCTGTGGACAACTAGGAACCAGGGTCTTAGCGCAGGACTAGCAATCATACAAACCTGAAAAAGGAAAGCAACCCTGAATCTCCACTCCCCATGGCACACAGCAGCTCCCTGAACAACTTGTATACTTTCAGTTCTCCCTTTTCTGTGTGTAAAGATCTGCAGCCATTGCAATCAGGGGAAATCAATGTCACTGACCTAATAGGTAGAAAGCAAAAGGTTGTTTTGCTTATTCAGCTACCAATAAGTTGGATGCTAGCAGGTCCGCTCCAGTTGGGGGCTTATGTCATGTACAACACAAATTGAACTCGTGTTTGGAAGAAACCTCAGTAGTAGCTGCCCAGAAGTGTTCTCAGCCTGATGGAGTGTTGGAAGGGGTAGGGAAATGGAGCCAATCTCTCTACAACAGCCTGTGTTGCCGCAAATAAGCTTTGTTGCTGGAGTAAATTCACTGCTTCAGCTCCAAAACTTGCCAAAAGGAAAGGGAAGGGTGAGAAGAGAGGTGTAATGTGGCTTACGTTGCCACCGCAGCAGGTGTAAGAGGCCATAGACAGAATGACTGCCATAGTCTTCATCACCATGATGAAGGATCTTAATTACATGCTTGTGGGCCAAATGAAAATTACCTTCTCACAGTAGATGGCTGTGAGAAGGTCCCTCCTAACTCATCTCCAGAGGCCAAGTGTCCTGTACTCACGCCCTACATCGGAACAGTCCAGGGGCATGTCGTGGATATGTGGTGTGAGAGACTGCACCACCTCCGTCCAGGGGATGTTCAGCAGTGTGGTGAGTAACTCTGGTGCGTGCTATTCTTTGTGCTCCTCCTTTGGAGACAAGTGTTTGCAGTGGATGGTTTTCTGTTTTGGAATATAGACACCTGAGCATTTACGTTGTGACATAAAAAAGGCAAGGACAAAGAAATATAATACATGCACTGAATGCAATTCTCTGGCTTTCCCATTTTATGACATTAATATTTTACCTGTGTGTGTGTGCGTGTGTGTGTTTATGAAGATCTTCCTTCTCAGTGGGTTTATTCCACAGTCCTGGCCTGGCCACAGAGAATGGTTGTTTCCTCCCAGATGCCTTTTCCCTTAGGACAGACAGCTGCATTGCACTGTAGCACTGAAGGTGCTGAGCAGCCTTTTAGATTTCTTGTGTCCAGGCTTATTTGAATGTAAATGTGAAAACAAGCATTGTGACTGCAAACTAGACATGACACTGCCTGAGGAGCCAGCAGAAGGCATGGAGAGCAAATGGGGTATGCCTGTGGCTGTGACATAGCCTAAGATAAGGGTTGCAGTATTCTGTACCAGCTAAAGGATCCCGTGTGTTGAGAGCGTCTTGCCGAGGCATTGCAGTCAAGCTGAGAGGTGATGAGCTGAACAACGCTCGTTTGTTGGCTACCTGGAGATATACAGTGTTGCTCCTGGATTCTGTTGTATGAGATCATAATTAGCACCACCAAGAAGTCGCAGTTATTCCTAAATGATGGACAGAACGGACCAATTTCTGATGTGAACTTTCAAGCAAAAAAAAAGGTTTTACTGGGGCTGCAAACTCAGCAAAAAAATTCTCTTTCTCCATATCTTTCTTATCACTTAAGTTCCTCATTTGTGTGCCAATCACATCCAGGCATTGATTATCTTGTGCAGCCTGCTCCTCTGGCTGGTTTGGGAGTGGAGAGCAGCAGCTCTGTTGTGAAAGCATTCAGGAGCTTTGCAATTTGGCACAAAGGCATTTTACTCCCAAGGGGGAAATGACACAGGGCAGGAAGAAAATAACTGAAGTGATCAAAGTAGTTCAATTTGATAACGCTGAAATGAAATTCTGCTTAGTGGCCTCGCAAGGAGCCAAGGAAACGGAAGATCATTTCAGACTGTTCCTTCCCAAGATACCACAGTCTTGGCATCCGACGATGAGTGAGCTGATGAAAGCGGTGGCAGGCTGGAGGTAGTGCTGTGAAGAAGGGATGGAGGCTGTCAGGAAACTCAATAGGTTTGAGCCCCTGACTCAGGGGTTCTGTCAGACCAGCCTCTGCACCAAACAGTTTTGGTGAGAGACCTCACTTTGATAAATTTACATTTTGCTGATGGAAAAAAAACAGGGTAGAGACTGAACTCTCTCGGGAGAGGATTCTGTTATCCCACCTGGACAGCAGAGCACAAGGGGCTTTATTGACATTGGGTTCATTCTCTGGAAAGAGAATGAACATTTTTAAGGCTACTTGCCCTGCAAAGGACCACTACAACTGACTGATTGCAATAAAAAATAAACACACTGGGAGCAGACCTTGGAAGGGTTAATAAGGGACCTCGTTACCTTGCCACAGCTGTAGCCAACTAGCCAATTTGAAGCCTGGTGTGAAAGCCACAGCTGGGCCAAGGAGAGGAGGTGCTGTAGATGGTGGTTGTGTTGGAGGTGCTGCTGTGGAGGAAGCCTGTTGCTTGAGGAAGGTAGGCATGTGCTGAGGGGTGGGAGCAGTACCCTAGTGCTTAATATGTTCTGGAACCCAAAGTGGAAGGTTTTTCTGGGCCCTCCTACACGGAGAAAGCGTATCTCTCTGGGCCAAGGATGAGGCTGCTGCTGGGGATGGGTTGTAACTGCTGTCCTGAATTTCAAGCTTAGGAACTTAGTAGTGAGGTCTTGTTTTTCAGCTTGGTTTTTTGTGTCCTTGTATTTGAGTTGCATAGTCCCATTTCGTTTTTTTTTTTTTGTTTATTTGTTTGTTTTTTTTTAATTCCCTCCTCTAATCAGTGCAAATACAAGATGCAACCACAGAGATGGCCAAAACACTGCAGGTCTAACATTGAAACTGCAGCAGACTGTGAGGTGTTGTGAAAACCTTTTCATTTTGTGTTGCGTCACTTGTTACATGTTTATCATCTCTGTGGGACTGATGGTTGGTTTTAAGAATGACTGACTGCAAAAAATTGAGCTCAAAACCTAGCCTTTGCTACAGGTTTTGTGTGTTGGTACTTATGTCTTTTGCTGACCTTGGGGTGAGTGGGCCCAGTATTAAATGTGACCTATACACTTCATCAGTTGTATTTGCTACCTGCTGCATTGTGGCTTGTGAGGCTGGAGTGAATTGCTTAGTCTTGTTTTGCAGGATGGTTTGTTATCTCACTGGAAAGCTCACGTACAGATGTCTCTGAACAAGTATGTAATGTTTAGACAGTTGCAGCCTCCAGCTTCTCCTGTCCTTAGGAGACGCTGGGAGACCAATTGTGGCTGTGTTGCAGCTGGCTGGAAGGTTACATTTGGTTTGCTCTTTTCAGATGGCATAACTATAGCATGAAATCAGCAGAAATAAATTTGCATATATACTGTATCTAGGGGAGCCTGTGTTGGCTGTTCTGTAGTTTTCTTTCTTTTACGTTCTCTTGTTTGCTGCGTGTGGATCCTTTTTAAAACGTGGGACTAGGAGTGGTCATGCTGAGCATTGAGTCCAGCTCCTAGCAACTCTAGGTGATAATATAAAAAAAATTCCTCCTTCTTCATGTGCCTTCACTGTCTACTAAATGCTCCCAACTGCCTAAGCCAGTGAGAGATCCATAAAATTGCAGCTTCCATTGGAAGAGAGATCAAGGGCATTGCTTAATTCCAAGTTTACTGTTATAGCAGGAAATTTGTTAGGTGAAATGCTCAGATAATCCTACCAGTTGTCTCATGCTACAGACAAAAGCCAAAGCTGGTGCAGTTTATTCACTTAAAACCAAGACCCTGTTCCCTAGCTGCGTGGCTTCTGTTTCATTTTGAATGAATAATTTGTAGCTTTGCTATGGTTCTCCTACTCTGGTATGGCTGGGGGGGAGGGGTTTATGCTTTTGAAGAGCAAAAAGGGATTTAGCAGCTTGTGTTTGGGAGTTATCTGGTGTTTTTAATAAAAATAAGTGGATAGAGTGAATGCATCTTGCATTTGTCCTCCGGAATCCCTTGCTGTTGGATGCACTATTGCAGTAATGCTTTGGGATGGAAGGAAGCTGTCTGGACTTGTTTGGCTCTTGTAGTTGGTAGTATCTTTCCCCTTGAAGCACTTGTTGGGTTCACAGGGATGTGTTCCCAGCCGCAGGTTCCCTTGTCCTTAGAGCTCATTGCGAGTTGACGTAAGCATGAGCTGCAACCTAACATAAATGGCCAATCAATTATGTGCACCACTAGAGGCTTTTATGCTGGGTCTCCAGTTCTGCAGGGTGCTTAAAGGAGTTTACTTCCCTTGCTCTAAGTCAGCTCTGCTTTGAGGAATTCAGTTTGGTGGATGACTTTGTCTTTTTTTTTTTTTTTTTTTTCCCTTCTTCCCTCTGTCCTTGCAACAGTTTTCAGGTCTCCATTTCTTGCCTTGTTCATTTTGAACCATTGTGGGGCAGATACCAGCTTTCTGCCTGCTCTGGGAAGTCTGTGCCTTCTCTCAGCCCCGACTTATTATCCTCCCTTCTGAGGTTTGTTGACGCAAGTGGCTGCATCAAATGCCTGTTTTGTTCTATTTTCCTGTATTTTCTCCACTTCCTCCATCTTCCATGATGGTTTAAACTGTAAGTGAGCATTCAGCTCCAATCTCTCTAATTCTCTGCATGGTGACCTCATGATTTATGCTGATTTGTGAGATTCAGGCAGTGTAAACTTAGATGGCAGCAGTGGTATTTTCTGTAGGAACTAACAGCCCCACTGTTGAGATATTTTAAAGACTTCTCTAATTGCATGTGTGGTATCCATAAAAACCTGTGACTCTTCTCCTGCAGGTATTAGTGCAGTAGTAACTGAATATAAGATGATGTAGTACTTGGAATCTGAACCTGACCAGGCTTGGAGTGCCTAATGACTGAGGTTTAAACCATAATGTTGTTTCTCTTTTGGCCAGTGAGGCAGCTGGGGGAGCGTTACCATCATCTGTCCCAAGGATCAATGATAGAGTACTGCTTGCTTTATGGTAAAACATTGAATTGCCTCTCTGCCACCCAAGCTTCCCCCCCCTCCCCCCAGATATTTGATCACTGGTTTGAATTCAAAGTAGTCAGGTCTGTCTCAAAATCCCTCATAGACAGGACTTCTGCTCTTCCCAGAAACTGTGGTGGGGAGCTGACACTGACTGTTTGACCTGCTGCATCCTCAGTGAGGAGAGACTGGCTTCTCTGCAGAGTAAATCCCAAGTCAGCAAATCCCAAAGATTGTTCTAACTTGCTGGGCTCTCATTTTTAGATGCTTCAGTACCTGTGTTGCTTGTGTTCTCGTCAGCGTTTACAAGCAGAATCGCTGTCCCCAAAGCAGCGCATTATATTAGGTTGTGCGCAATGCTGCGTCAGCCTGACATCTGGAATAGCTTGTCAGAGCTGGCTTGGGTATTTCTAGACAAAGCAATGTGCCCAGAAGGTGTTCTTGGGTTCCCATGGGAATTTTTTCTATGGAAGATAGACTATGAAATGAGTGGCATCTGGAAAGGATAGCAAGTCCCTGCAGCATGTCTTGGAGGTGAACTCGCTCGTGCTAGTCTATGCTAATTTTACGGAGCATCCTGCTTATTGGGATCCTGTGGTGTCTTTGTATGACTGCTCCAATGCATCTTGCAATGTAGGACAGATATATTGAAAAACATGTCATTGTAATGTGCCCTGTACATTGCACGGGATCCCTTGTGGGCCTGCCCCTCTCCCTGGCAGTCTGTGGATAGTCTCTGCTAGATTGTGTAGGAACAGAGTATTTATTGCCTGTAACACCAAAGGAGGTATCTGATAAGATAGTACATTAGGAACAGATGTGTATTTTGGTTCTAGTTCTTTCTCTTTTGCTTTGTATACAAATGAATCCATGAATACACTTCTCACCTATGAACTCTGACCAATTCTGCAATCCAGCTATGTTTCTTTGTGCTTGGACAGAGTAACAGCTCTTTTTTCTACTGCTGGAACTGAACTCCCCCCAACCCCAAGAAGAGAGAGAGACTTATAACCCCAAGTATATAGCTGAGAGTGGTGTGCATGACAAGTAACTTGTTCAAGTCAAGGGGTGTGATCTATAAGTAAAGCCTGTAACATCCTGCCTGAATGAACAAAACACCTGAAGCTGCAGTCTTGCATTCTTCATTCAACATCTTTTTCTAGAAAAAGAATTACCAAAGAGTAATTAAACGCCATATTTCTGGATTACCTCTAATTAGTAGAGAGGTAAGGCACTGTACCTCCAGAGTTTTCCTTTGCTGTTCACTGATTATGTCACAACTGATCTTTAATAGTTTTCAGACAGAGCAATTATCTCCTGTTCTAGTGATCCTCTGCTCCTAGTGTCTTGCCAATTAGATACAGCCTTTAGCCATGTTCACTAGTTTTGTCTGAAGTGAGCCTTAACTTGCAAATATTGGGTTTGATTTTTTTATTAAAAATCATTGTCTAACAGAAATATGTCTCCAAGAAAATAATCATCTAGTGATTCTCTTAATCTTTGGGAATCTGAAATCTGGTGCAGACTGAATTTGAGTTCAGCTGATTTCCCTTCACTTAAAGTGTTGATTCAAACTGCTGGATTTACATGCACTTAAACACAAAGTATCTGCAACTGTCTCTGAGCTTGGAGCCTTAGGCAACTCTTCAGAAAAGACTATTTGTTTCCTTTTCTGACCCTTATACTTTGCCTGTACAGCGTTTTTGTAGAGATGCAGATAGAGAGTGTGTGATCTTCAGCTACATGAAGTGTGAGTCTTGTGTTGACCATTAACTTATTCAAACCTTAGGTAAACTTGGGAACACAGAGACAATGTTTTCCTCTGGTCACACTAAAGAGGAGGGTGATGCTGCGTTTGCTGGGAGTGCAATGAGGCTGAGCCAGTAGCTGAGCAGCTGTGCTGTGATTTTTACTTACCATAGTTGTTTCTGCAATCGAGCCAAAGCTGTTGATGAAAATGTTGCAGCTGACATTCACTGGTGGGCCTGCATGACAAATACAGGTTGGAACAGCAGTTTACTGTGTGCTTATAAGACAAAGTATTTCCACTCTGTAGCACTAAAACCTATTGTGGGAAGAGGGTGACTGAGGGGTGAGTATGGGAATAAGGTCTGGATGACCCAGCTTAGTCTAGTCTTTGTTTTGATGCCAGTTTGACATAAGAAAATGCTCTTGCTTTGCCTCTGTTCCCCCGTTTGGTAGAGTGTTTATGTATCTCTTCTGTGAGCTGTTTTGATGAAAAGGAATAGATCACAGCCAAGCAGGACAGCTTTCTAGATACCTCGATATTGCTGTATGGGTGCCAAGCTCACCCTGAACATGATAGCAATGTATCCCAGAAAAGAGCTGAGAGACTATTGACAGGCCCTCTTCTTTAGAGCTCTACACTTCAAAATACTCATTTAAAGCATCTAAATGTTTCTAAACTAGGGCCATATGCTCCCTACACCTGCCGGGTTCAGCTCTGTTCCTGCCTGAGTTACTGACTTCATCCTCCAACTTAAACCGAAGCCCAAATGCTTCTTCCTTGTTCTCAGAATGTGAATGCCCAACTAAGTCTAGACTTTATGGAAAAGCTGCAATCTTCTTTTTGTTAATCTTCCCCTCCCCCAAAATCAATTTGATACGGATCTTTGGTATTATTTTCATTTAGATCTAAGCCATTAAAATGCCCTTATGAGTTACTGCAGTTAATTTAAATGACATGCTTTGAGAGCTACAACCCCAAGCTCTGTAAAACACCTCCTATGCCTCCCATATAAATTGGAGCCTGATTTATGTGTGGGAGGCTAAGCCAGCAAAACTGCCCTGTGGGGAAGGTGTAGCTCATTGAAATAAAAGTGAAATTAAATTATCTGGAATAAAAATGCAATACAGCTGCCTTCAG